ATATCCTGCGGGCAGTGGTCTCCACATACTATTTGGCAATGAAGTTCCCTACAGACTTCGGTGTGGGGGTAGCACGGGGCGACCATATTGAGTCCCGCAAGTGTTATGTTGTCACCCTAAAGGGAAAAACCAAGGTGGCCGACGACCTTGAACTGGAGCGGCCTACGGAGCAAGGCGAGGAACGAGATTCGCCCACAGAGGAAACGGTCGCAATCCCGACTTCGGCTACAGACCCAGCTCGCACGCTACAGATCAGTGCTTCCGTCAAGGAACCTCTACGAACTGAACTGGTGAGTTTTTTACTTCAAAATTTAGATATTTTTGTCTGGTTCGCGGCCGATATGCCCGGTATTGACCCCAGCCTTATAACTCACAAACTTAATACTAACCCTGTAGTCAGACCCATTAGACAGAAGAAACGCAACTTAGCCCCAGAGCGCTGGAGGGCGGTCAACGAGGAGGTCGAGAAGCTCCTCGCAGCAGACTTCATAAGTGAAGTTCATTACCCGAGCTGGGTAGCCAACCCAGTGCTGGTGAAAAAGGCAAACGGCAAGTGGCGCATGTGCGTCGACCACACCGACCTAAACCGAGCTTGCCCGAAAGATTGCTTCCCCCTCCTCAGAGTTGACCGCCTAGTGGACGCGACCTCGGGACATGAGTTGATAAGCTTCTTGGACGCCTACTCGGGCTACAACCAAATCAGGATGGACTAGTCCGATGAGGAAAAAACCAGCTTCATAACCGAGTTCGGCTTGTACTGCTACAAGGTCATGCCCTTCGGATTGAAAAATGCTGGGGCGACCTTCCAAAGACTTGTAAATAGGCTGTTTCGGCCCTTAATTGGCACGAAAATAGAATGTTATGTAGACGACATGGTCGTTAAGACGCAGTTTTTACAGGAATTAATACAAGACTTAGATTTTGTCTTCCAAATTCTGCGTCAATTTAGCATGAAACTAAACCCAAACAAGTGTGTTTTCGGTGTCACCTCGGGTAAGTTCCTAGGGTACATTGTCAACCGGCGCGGTATTGAAGCCAACTCGGACAAAATAAAGGCCATCCTAGATATGAGACCACCCAGAAAAGTAAAAGAGGTTCAGAGGCTAAACGGTCGCATAGCCGCTCTGAGCCGCTTCATGTCCAAATCAGCAGACCGCTGCCTGCCTTTCTTCAAAGTAATCAAAGGTAAAGGGTTAGAATGGACG